GCCTCAGAGATCCCTCGTTGGGGTGACCTGTCCCGGGCGGGTGTTGCCATCTATGATCTTGACTTTGATGCTATTCTCTCTGCCATGTATGCTGTGTCTATTAGTGATGAGGGTGACTGTTACCGGTGTTTCCCGCCCGATCCGGGTATTGAGACTGCTGCTCTAGGTCCTGGTGAGGCTGCTGCCCTAGGTGCTTGCGACGCTGCTGCCCTAGGTGCTCGTGTGTCTGCGTCCTCAGGTACTGGTGAGTCTGCGCTCTCAGGTACTACGTCGGCTTCGGCCTCCCTCACCTTCACCCTTGACTCTGGGGCGTCTCGCTCCTTCTTTAGGGACCGCACCACACTCACACCGCTGAGTCGACCGGTTGCAGTGTCTCTGGCTGACCCCTCTGGGGGTCCTGTCCTGTCTCGCTTCTCCACAGTCCTCCCGTGTCCGGCGGCTCCCTCTGGCACCCTGTCTGGTCTCTACCTCCCCTCGTTCTCTACGAACCTGGTGAGTGGTGCTGACCTACAGGATGCGGGTGTACACCAGTTCACTCCTGCGCGTCAGCGGGTGACGCACTGTACAGAGGCTAGCACAGGCCGACACCTGGCTACGTTTACCCGTCAGCCGGGGTCGAGCCTGTACACACTGACCACTGCGTCTCCTCCCGTTACTGAGTCTGGTAGAGTCGCTTCGTCGGGTCAGGTGTTTGCTGCTGCGTCCAGGTCTGGTCCTGAGTCTGCCCCCTGTTCTTGTCGTCTCCTGTCTCACGAGACTCTTCTCTGGCACCACCGTCTTGGTCACCCCTCTCTGCTTCGGCTCAGAGGCATGGCCTCCCGTCTTCTAGTGTCTGGTCTCCCCCGGTCCCTCCCTCCCCTTCCTCAGGGCCCTGGCCCTACCTGTGTCCCCTGTGTCGAGGGGCGCCAGCGTGCTGCCCCTCACTCCTCCCAGTTTCCTCCGACAGAGGCCCCGTTGCAGACGCTCCACATGGACGTGTGGGGCCCAGCCCGCGTCCGTGGGCAGGGTCACGAGCGCTACTTCCTGCTCGTTGTTGACGACTACTCGCGTTACACCGCAGTCTTCCCCTTGCGCGGCAAGGGTGATGTCACTGAGGTGCTGATCGACTGGATCCGCGCAGCTCGTCTCCAGCTCAGGCAGAGCTTTGGCTCCGACTTTCCTGTTCTGCGTCTCCACTCGGACAGAGGCGGAGAGTTCTCCTCTGGCCTTCTGCGAGCCTACTGTCGTGCACGAGGCATCCGTCAGACCTTCACGCTCCCGGACTCTCCGCAGCAAAATGGGATTGCTGAGCGCCGCATTGGCATGGTCATGGACGTCGCTCGTACGTCTATGATGCATGCGGCTGCCCCCCATTTTCTGTGGCCGTTTGCGGTGAGGTACGCGGCACGTCAGATCAACCTTCACCCCAGGGTCTCCAGGCCGGAGACCTCCCCAGCCTTGCTGTGGACCGGGAAGGTGGGCGATGCGTCGGCGTTCCGGGTCTGGGGATCTCGGGCGTTTGTCCGCGACTTGTCTGCGGACAAACTGTCCCCTCGTGCTGCTCCTTGCGTCTTCCTGGGGTTCCCCCCAGACGCGCCTGGGTGGCAGTTCTACCACCCCACCTCTCGCCGTGTTCTGTCCTCTCAGGACGTCACGTTCGACGAGTCGGTACCCTACTACCGCCTCTTCCCCTACCGCACTCCGTCCCCCCCCCCCGCCCCCGCTCTTCCTTGTACCAGGTCCCCCCCCGGTAGACCCCCTCCCCCCTCAGGGTCCTGCCCCTTCAGGTGTGTCCCAGGTAGACGTAGTCGAGCCTGTCGAGGTCACTGGTGACTCTGGTACTGCTGGGGGTGCTGAGCCTGGGGGTGCTGGGCCTGGGGGTGCTGGGCCTGGGGGTGCTGAGCCTGGGGGTGCTGAGTCTGGGGGTGCTGAGTCTGGGGGTGCTGAGCCTGGGGGTGCTGAGCCTGGGGGTGCTGAGCCTGGGGGTGCTGAGCCTGGGGGTGCTGAGTGTGGGGGTGCTACGCCTGGGGGTGCTTTGCCTGGGGGTGCTGGACCTGGGAGTGCTGCGCCTGGAGGTCCTCCGCCTCGAGTTTCTACGCGTGCTTTGTCTCGCCGGGAGCCACTCTCTCCACAGGAGCTGCGCGAGTGGTTTGCCCGGCGCTGGAGCCGTGCTGCTGGTGCTGGAGGTTCGTCGGCTACTGAGGGTGCTGCTGTTGCGGGTCCCGGAGGTGCTCGTACTGGGAGTACTGGAGCTGCTGGGCCTGCGGGTTCGACTGGAGCTGGTGCTGCTGAGGGTGTTGGCGCTGAGACTACCACTGGCGGTCCTGCTGGGGGTGCTCCTGGTGTTGCTCGAGGTTCTGGAGCTACTGGAGGTGCTGCTGGAGCGGGTGCTCCTGCTGGGGGTACTGGTGCTGTCCCTGCTGTTTCTGGCGTAGCTACGCGGCCTCGACCGTACTTCGTTCCACTCCTGCAGCAGGTTCTTGGTCTTCCGCCCTCTCCTGGTCCTCCTCCTTTCTTGGAGGGTCCACAGCCTGTCCCGTCGCGGTCACTGCTACAGCCTACCTCCCCTTTGCCTGCTCCTTCTCCCTACACTGGTCCTACTGGAGGTCTTACTGAGCGTCGTGAGCCTGCGTCTCGCCCTGCGTCGCCTGTCCGTGCTGCTCGCGCTAGTGGTCGTGGTTCGCGTCAGCGTCCTCCTCCTGTCCCTGGCACGCACAGGATGTCTCTGCGTCCGTCTACTGCTCCTCTGCGTGCCCCTTTGCCTTCTCCTCCTGAGTCCTCTCTTCCTGCTCTTCCCGACCCTGCGTCGGACTCTCTTCGTGCTGCCAGTCCTACTGTCACGCGTCTCCTTGCTACTGTCGTCACTGACCCTTCCTTCGAGTCTACTGCTGCGTCTGCCCTAGTTACTGAGCTCGTCGACTTTGCTGCTCGCTGTCGCCTAGACTACGCTGCTAGTCTTGTCGCTGAGTCTGGGTCTGCCTGTCCTCCGTCAGTCGGGGGTGAGTGTGCCCTTGGCACGGACGTCCTTGAGGACAGGCAGGAGGAGTTCCAGTGTCTGGCAGCTGCTTCACCTCATCTCGTGTCCGTACTGCTTACCCCTGAGGGAGACCCGGATGCACTTGACATCCCGACTCCGCGCTCTTACGCGGAGGCGATAGAGGGTCCCTACTCCTCTCAGTGGCAGGCAGCTATGGATGCAGAGATGGCTTCCTGGAAGTCCACAGGCACCTACGTTGACGCTGTCCCCCCTCTTGGGGCGAACATCGTCAGTGGCATGTGGATCTTCAGGGTGAAGCGGCCGCCGGGTTCTCCGCCTGTCTTCAAGGCACGTTACGTGGCTCGTGGCTTCAGTCAGCGACAGGGAGTTGACTACTTTCAGACCTTCTCCCCCACCCCGAAGATGACCACTCTTCGGGTGCTGCTACACGTTGCTGCTCACCGTGACTACGAGCTGCACTCTCTCGACTTCAGCACTGCTTTCTTGCAGGGCAGCCTGCACGAGGAGATCTGGCTGCGCCGCCCACTTGGCTTCACTGGGTCTTTCCCTCCTGGTACCCAGTGGAGTCTCCGGCGTCCAGTCTACGGTCTCCGCCAGGCGCCACGTGAGTGGCACGACACACTGAGGACTACGCTTGCGGCTCTTGGGTTTGCTCCTTCTACTGCCGACCCGTCGCTGTTTCTACGCACCGACACCTCTCTGCCGCCGTTCTACATCCTCGTGTACGTCGACGACTTGGTCTTTGCCACAGCTGACACTGCTGGACTCGCCCACGTGAAGTCCGAGCTGCAGAAGAGACACACGTGCACAGACCTGGGTGAACTGCGCAGCTACCTTGGCTTGCAGATCACCCGGGACAGAGCACGCCGCACCATTACCCTGACTCAGTCACACATGGTGCAGCAGGTCCTTCAGCGCTTCGGCTTCACGTACTCCTCGCCTCAGGCCACTCCTCTGCCTACTCGCCACTCACTCTCAGCTCTGCCTTCGGATGAGTCCGTAGAGTCGAGTGGCCCGTATCCAGAGCTTGTTGGCTGCCTCATGTACCTGATGACCTGCACACGACCTGACCTTGCATACCCTCTTAGCATTCTTGCACGCTATGTTGCTCCTGGGAGACACCGACCAGAGCACATGGCTGCAGCGAAGAGGGTGTTGCGATACTTGTGCAGTACGTCGGGCATGGGACTAGTGCTTGGAGGGCGGAGTCCAGTGGTCCTCACTGGGCACGCGGACGCTTCTTGGGCTGACGACCAGGCTACGCAGCGGTCGTCGCAGGGTTACACCTTCAGTCTTGGTTCCGGCTCTGTCTCGTGGCGAGCTACTCGCTCGTCCTCTGTTCTCGGCTCCAGTTGTGAGGCTGAGATCTACGCCGGGGCCATGGCTGCACAGGAGCTTCGCTGGCTCACCTACCTGCTGACTGACCTTGGAGAGCCGCCTCGTTCTCCTCCAGTGCTGTACGTAGACAACAAGGCCATGCTGGCCTTGTGTCGAGAGCAGCGCTTGGAGCACAGAACGAAGCACATTGCTCTCCGTTACTTTCTTGCTCGTGAGCTGCAGCAGCGTGGTCAGTTGCGACTTGCGTACGTGGCCTCTCAGGCCAACACTGCTGATGTGTTCACCAAGGCACTTGCGCCTTGTGACCATCAGCGCTTCTGCACTCAGCTGGGTCTTGTACCTGTCTTGCCTCACTTGCTCTCCTCTTGACCTTACTTGTACTGTCACATATATATACCTGCTCCTGCTTGTCTAGCTCTATATATATATGTGTACTCCTGCATGTGAACTGGCCTTGTGGCCTTGTCGTTGTGCTCGGACTGTGTGGTGACGTTGTGATCCACCCTGAGCTTGCTCTGCTTTGCTTGACTGGTCTTGTGACCCCTTGTTCTCCCCCACTTTGCCTATGGGGGTGTGTCAGAACATTATATAGCTTATGCTGTTGTGTAGGCTATAGTGGGGTATCCCATAGGGGGTACAACCCAATTAGGGTTTTCTATATGTACTCACCTCATTCATAGTTCATTCATCCTCGTTCTTCATTCTTCTCAAACAGCTTCGCCCCTGACATTCCCTCCAGGTCGCCAAGCCGCGAAACCAGCTCGTTGACGATCTTCTCTGCGAACTCGGTGCAGACGTCCACGCAGCCATCATGATTCGCGGGACCCTCAAACTCCTCCAGGTCGTCCTCATGCAGCTTGAAGGTGAAGCGCGTGGGGCGCTCGTCGGAGTCAACACCCTCGGCAGTCACGTCCCTGTTTCCTCTAGGCCCATGACGCGCGAGGAAAGGAGACAACCTCTCGCTCACGCCGCCACCGAAGTCTTTGCCGCAGTCGACATAGCGGCTCTCGATGTGGGAGGTTGTGCGCTTTATCTGCGCATGGACACTGGCATAATCCAGCTGATGACAAGGCACGAAATGAAAGGAGGGGTGTTAGTCACAGTCATTGAACATTGCAGAGGCATCGGTATGTGTATGGAATGGAAGACGGTTAAAAACATCTCACCTCCTTGTGCTGGAAAGCCCGGTTGAGGATGTTTAACTGCTCCAGCACGTCAGCAATGAAGAACAGAAGGAAATGAAACCTGTAGCTTGTCACGAGCGCGTACAGGTTTGCATCCCACTCCTTCAGCATCACGATCAGAGCAGGCAGCACGGCGATAAGCCTCAGCACGGCATCGCCCCACGAGAGCCAGCGAACTGCATGAATCACTTGCAATTCCAGGCTTGTTGACGTGAAGACCTCTTGCAGGCCCATGAACCGCTGGTGCCACGGCCCGGACCTGCCGAGATGCTCAGCCACGGTTTGAATCACCGTGTCGATGATGCCGAAGGCTGGGATCTTCTCAGCGGCATGCTTGGGAGCGAGTGCCTCCCTGTACAACAAAAAAGAACAACGGTGTTAAAATCTGGAAGAATAAGAACAGCACAAATTAGTCGGTTAGATACAAGATGGGATATACCTGTGCGCGATGCAGTGCGATGACACCAAGTGGGGGATGCGCAGTCGGAGGCGTGTCACCAGGCCCGACTTGCTGCCCATCATCACGTTGGCACCATCAGTGCTGATGCCCGAGATCCGCCTCAGGTCGACGCCGACTGCCTGCAGGTGCGACAGAAGTAGACTTAGCAGCGAGGCGGCGTCCGCCTTATCCACTGTGATAAGCTGCATGGACTCCGTCACCAGCTTGCAGTTGCGGATGAAGGTGAGGTAGAGGATTAGGTGCTTCCCACTGCACCGATCCGTGCTCTCGTCGAGGGAGATGACGATGAAGGGACTTGAGAGCACATGCTCCAGCTGGGTTGGTTGAAACCACGTTGGAGTCGACTGCATTATCTCCCCGAATCCGTACCTGCCCATAAAACAACACGGTCGGTTCACGTGGTTTAGCAAACATGGTTTGTAGAGCATCGGGGATGTGCAACTTATACACAAGAAGTAACATATGCACTCACGTGGTGTAGTATGTGCCGTACCCCTTCTTGGGGAAACCCTTCACGCCCTTCTCCGACAGGTACCGAACAAGCTTGACCCACATCCCCATTGGCGTGTCGCACTTGCTGACGAACAACAACGAGTCAAGAAGGGAAACGACGCGCAACTTCTCCTCGTCGACAGTGACTCGAAGTTGGTTGATCAGAGGCTGCCTCGTCCCGCCCTCCACTAAGCGCGCATCGCCATCTTGTGCTTGTTAGTGTCGGCGTGCTTCCGGAAGGATTGTGTCTGCACGTCTGTGGCACCTTTCCCGCGCCTCCCGCACTTGCCTGCGTCGCCAGCATGGGCCTGACAAACACTGCACTTAAACGCAGGGAGCCCAGTAGAGGTTTTTGTTAGGACAAGCCAGGAAAAACGACCACGCCACTGCGTAGTGAACTTGTCGTGTGCATCCTCATACACATCGATGAGCTGCGCTAAATTGATGTCCAGTCGTGGACGTGGCCGTTCAGATGGGCCAGCCTCATTGTTGTCAACCGCTGTCGTCGCAGACGCCTTCGCGAAGCTCAATGTTGCCTGCTTGAGTCGGACGTTGCGCGCTTTGGTGGCGGCGGTGGGCTGACTGACATGATGCGGGGCTGAACCAACGGTAGGTTCTTCATCCGTCACTATCACACTATCAGTTGGAGATGAGACCGCTGGTGCTGGTTCTTTCGGTGTGGGGATTGTATCAGGACTGGCGCGAGCCGCCTTCTCGGGTGCTAGCGAGCTAAGCAAAAAATCTAACCCCGTTCTGACGTGAGGACCGTCATCATCCTCATCGCCTGTGGTGGCATCGGCCTGGAAAGCCATCGCGGGGTCTGAGAAAGCCTGCTGAGAAGGAACTAGGGAGGTGGTGGTTGACAGCGTGTTGAAGCACGGGGTGGGATGAAACCCTTGCCCCTCCACGGGCCATCAATGAAAGGGATGTGGTTGCCTAGCATGCACGGCAACGACGAGGCGCTACTGCCGTGCACTGCTGTCAGTTGTGTTTCGTGGCTGCAAAATGGGGCAACGTGGTACTGGGAAAGTCCTTGTTGGCTAGAAAAGCTGCCAAAAGGACCAATCAGCACAGAAAGAAGGTGTGCGCTGGTGTTTACGTGGGAAAAACCGCGCCGCAGGGCGGCCTCGCTGCCAAAACTTGACTGTTGTCCCACATGTAGCGTGATTGACGGGACAACAGTCAAATGCAACCGCTAATCCCGGGTGTCGGCGCCATCCCAGGTACATTGAATCAGAGTCGGTACGCGGTTGTACTCTGATGGATCAGAGTACACTCCCGAAAAAAAACTGATTTATCAGACTTAGACATTAAAAAAAAAAGGTGAAACATCAGAGTTGAGGCCCTAAAAAAATCTGAACTTTCAGAGTCCACTATAAAAAAAAACTGAAATATCAGAGTTTTTCAACCAAATCAGAGAAATTTCTCTGAAATCTGGGGGCCTGCTTAGAAGCCTAGGCCAAACGGGTGTCGAGTTAGTTGTGGCAACGGAAGGAAGCAGGCCCTCAGATTCGTTTTTGGGCTGTCTGATTTGTCAGACTTGGTACACGTTTTTAGTCTGATCAATCAGAGTTGGTACAAAAAAAAAGGCTGAAATTTCAGAGTCTAAAAAAAAAAAGGTCTGATCATTCAGAGTTTGCACCAGTGAGAACTCTGATTGTGTTTTAAGGGTGTGCTGTTGGCCTTGGTTCATGCAGTAATATAAAGGTACAATACAATACATCCATGCGACGTACAATATCTACTCTACTCATGCAAGTGGATCATCATCTCTCTGAAATGCATCATCTCCTAGGTCTACCATTACTGCATCTGCCACGTTCTTGCTATCGCCAGCTTGTGCTTCTGTGAGCCGGCGTGCTTACGGAAGGACTGGTTCTGCACGTCAGTGGCTCCTTTCCCACGCTTCCCGCACTTGCCTGCGTCGCCAGCATGGGTTGAATAGGCACTACACTTAAAGCCCACGCCTAGAATGGTAGCGTTTTATAAATACTGAACTTGAATCGAGGGCGACGGGAGGGACAGGAGGGACGAGAGCTACGGGAGCGACGGGAAGAGGGACGGGAGCCGACGGTACAAGGGGCGGGAGGATCGAAGGGAGGAAGGGCGAACGTGTTAAACTAAGAGAAGAGGAATGATGTCGACTAGGTCAAGGGGGGGTACAAGTACAATGACGAGAGAAAAGTTGTACCCCCTAAGATGCATCTCACTATAGGCTAAGTAAGAACTATGATATAACTTTGACACACCCCCATAGCCTAAGTGAGAGGGATCAGAATGACCAAGACAAGCAAATGGTCACAAGACCAGTCAAGCAAGAGAACAAAGCAAAGCTCATGGTGGATCTCAATGACACCACACATTCTGAGCACAAGCAAGCGGCCACAAGGCCAGCTCACATGCAGAGGTATAATAGCAAGGCAGTACACTGATTACAACCTAGCAAGAGGAAACAAGCAGGTATAAAGATATATATCAGTGTACAACAAGTGCAAGTCAAGCAACCAGCAGGTGAGGCAGAGAGGGCACAAGCCCAAGAGCAGTACAGAAACGCTGATGATCACCAGACCCAAGGGCCTTGGTGAAGACGTCAGCAGTGTTGGCCCGAGAGGCCACGTAGGAGAGGCGGAGCTGACGACGCTGCTGCAGCTCACGTGCAAGGAAGTAGCGAAGAGCAATGTGCTTCGTTCTGTGCTCCAGTCTCTGCTCGCGACACAAGGCCAGCATGGCCTTGTTGTCGACGTACATAACTAGAGGAGAACGAGGCCGCTCCCCCAAGTCGGTCAGCAGGTAGGTCAGCCAGCGAAGCTCCTGTGCAGCCATGGCCCCAGCGTAGATGTCGGCCTCACAGCTGGAACTAAGCACAGAAGACGAACGAGTGGACCTCCACGAGACAGAACTAGAGCCGAGACTGAAGGTGTACCCCTGTGACGACCGCTGAGTCCTCTGGTCGTCAGCCCAGGAAGCGTCGGAGTAACCTGTGAGTACCACTGCGTCCCGTCCTCCAAGCACGAGCCTCATGCCCGATGTACTGCACAAGTAACGCAGTACCCTCTTCGCGGCATCAAAGTGCACCTTTCGGTGTCTACCAAGAGCCACGTAGAGAGCCAGAAGGCTGAGAGGGTACGCGAGGTCAGGTCGTGTGCACGTCATCAGGTACATGAGGCAACCCACGAGATCTGGATACGGACCACTCGGCTCTACGGACTCGTCCGAAGATGGAGCTGAGAGCGAGTGGCCGGTAGACAGAGGAGTGGGATGTGGCGAGGACCACGTGAAGCCAAAGCGCTGAAGGACCTGGTGCACCATGTGTGACTGCGTCAGGGTGATGGTGCGCCGTGCTCTGTCCCGGGTGATCTGCAAGCCAAGATAGCTCCGCAGCTCACCCAGGTCAGTGCAGGTGTGTCTTTCCTGCAGCTCCGTCTTCACGCGGGCCAGTGCCTCAGTGTCAGCGGTAGCAAAGACCAAGTCGTCGACGTACACGAGGATGTAGAACGCCGGCAGAGTGGTCTCAGTGCGCAGAAACAGCGACGTGTCAGCTGTCGAGGGAGCGAAACCAAGAGTCGCAAGCGTCGTCCTCAGTGTGTCGTGCCACTCACGGGGCGCCTGACGCAGGCCGTACACTGGTCGCTGTAGGCTCCACTGGGTACCCTCAGGAAACGACCCAGTGAAGCCCTGTGGACGGCGCAACCAGATGGCCTCATGAAGGCTACCCTGCAAGAAAGCTGTCGAGAAGTCGAGGGAGTGCAGCTCGTAGTCGCGCTGTGCTGCAACGTGTAGCAACACCCGAAGAGTGGTCATCTTCGGGGTGGGGGAGAAGGTCTGAAAGAAGTCAACTCCCTCACGCTGACAGAAACCTCGAGCAACGTAACGTGCCTTGAAGGCAGGCGGAGAACCCGGCGGCCGCTTCACCCTGGAAATCCACATGCCACTGACGATGTTCACCCCAGGTGGGGGAACCTCGTCGACGTAGGTGCCTGTGGACTTCCAGGAAGCCATCTCTGCGTCCATGGCTGTCTGCCACTGAGAGGAGTACTCACCCGAAATCGCCTCTCTGTAAGAGCGCGGGGTGGGGATGTCAAGTGCATCCGGGTCTCCCTCAGGGGCAAGCAGCATGGTAGCGAGACGAGGTACAGCGGCCGCAAGGCACTCCAGCTCCTCCTGCCTGTCCTCAAGAACTTCACAGCCAAGGGCAGTACAGCCAAGGGCAGTCTCACCCCCGACGGACGGAGGACAGGCAGGGACAGGGTCAGAAACAAGACTCGCAAGGTAGTCTAGGCGGTACACAGCAGCAAAGTCAACGAGCTCAGCGACTAAGGCAGACGCAGCGGGTCCAAAATTGAATGGTGGGCCCTTTTAAAAATCCGGTCCTAAGGACCATAACGCTCTGATACCATGTTAAACTAAGAGAAGAGGAATGATGTCGACTAGGTCAAGGGGGGGTACAAGTATCTCCTGGAATTTCCGGAAGCAGGAGCTGGTTGTCATGTCGCCAGCGGAAGCGGAATACAACGCTGCAACCGCTGCAATTCGCGGAGGACTCTATCTGCAAGAACTCTTGCAAGAGACGAAAATCCCAACATCGCCGACATTTCGTTTCCACAGCGACAACCAAAGTGCGATCAAGATCGCGAACAATCTTGGCTTCGTCAACCAAACGAAGCACATCACGCTGCTGTATTTATTCGTGAAGGATGAAATCGACCAAGGAAAAGTCAATCTGGCGTATTACCCCGCCATTGACATGGCAACAAACTTTCTTGCCAAGTGACTGCCACGTCAGCGGTACCAGCACTGCTCCAACCTCACCGGAGTGGTCAAACGAGCTAGCAACAACTACGCCCATGAATGAAGGGGGGTGTTTCGAGGATAAAATGAGAAAACATCCTTGTATGCAATAGGAGCTAACAGTAATACGAAGACGAGGAGTGAGGCGAATCGAAGCGACGGAAGCGGTTGCCAGGCAAGAACTGATGCAAGTGAAAACATTTGAACCGGAAAAGGCAAGAACATGTTTGAAACAGGTTCACGCGCCGCACGGGTGGATTTCGCTATAATAAGGGAATGTACCCCTTGGACGAGAGAAAAGTTGTACCCCCTAAGATGCATCTCACTATAGGCTAAGTAAGAACTATGATATAACTTTGACAGAACGAAGGGAGGAAGTTAGAACAAGCGTGAGTGAGCGACGAGCGAGAGTGAGCGACGAGCGAGTGATCGACGGGAGTGAAATGAACGACGGGCGTGAGAGAGCTGCGAGCGTCCGTGACAATCTAAGGAAGCGAGGGCGCCAACGACGAGAGCGACAAGGGCTACGAGAGCGACCGGAGGGACGTTAGCGATGGTGAGGAGTCACGTGTGTGAAGGGAGGGAGGGGAGGGCTGTGTATGAGGGGAGGGCAGTGTATGACGGGGACGAGAGAGTCTGAACTGAATTAATGGAACGGGTGGCGACGAGAGAGCTCGACGGCAGTGTATGAGGGGAGGGCAGTGTATGAGTCGCTGCTATCGTCCCTCTGTTGTTTGATGTGAAGTGTAGCCGCGATATTCTGCAACGTGGGTACTGGTCGAGCCCTAGGTTGCTGTAAAAAGCTGCCTCAACGACCAATCGGCCACTGGATTTGGTCTGCGCTGGTGCCAACGAGGGGATACCTGCGAATCTTGCATAGTCAAAATCAGAGTAGGTTCGAGTTTGTAGTCTGATGGATCAGAGTACACTCTCGAAAAAAAACTGAAATATCAGAGTAGGCTTAAAAAAAAAAATCTGATTCTTCAGAGTTCATACGGTACTAAAAAAAAGGCGAGTGCACTAAAACAAAGGCTGAAATATCTGAGTTTTTTAGGTAAATCAGAGAAATTTCTCTGACTTCTAGGGGCCTGGAAGGGAGAATCGAGAATGGTTGTGTTCACTATAGGACTAAAGGTACATATAGCAAACTAACAAAGGTGCGCCACCGATGTTAATAAGGCATAACTACACTAAAGCTAAAGCTACAGGCATCATCTTTTAGCACCCTTAGTCCTTGGGATTTCCCACCATCTATACACCCTTGGTAGCTAAAGATCCTGGCAACTAAAGAGGGGCCATTCGTCAGAAATTGAATCAAGAATTATCACACAAATCCGGTGTACAGCATCTCTTGCAAAGGGGGACGTTGGAATGGGGCAACGAGGGCGAGAGTGGGAGGGTGTGTGTGATAACCCTCCAGACTCGTATGCACTTATTGTGCCACACCCCTCAGCTTCTCACCCATTCATCGCTCTTCCCCTCTTATCTTTGTACCATCCCCTCCAACTGAACAGCAGCAGGGGGAAGAGATGCTGCTGAGATGTGAGGCGCAGGGGGTAGTACACGGAGGAGTGTGCCAAGGGTGCCAGGGGTTGGAACGTGGCTCCATGGGTGGACTGCTGGAGAGGCCTGAACATCGGGAGCATTAGGAGGGATGCGAGACGAAGCACTGAGGGGAAAAGGGGGGGTAGGGCAGAGGGGAATAGGCAGGGAATGGTGCAGTGAGGGGAATGGGAAGAGCAAGTATTGGTAAAATTGGTATGATGGTGAGGGATGGTTGTGTTAGGACATCAAGAGAGAAGAGTTCAAGTTGCACAGAGGGCAACACAAGGCAGCAGCACTCATTGAAATGAATAGGTTGCAGAGACTTAGAGAAGTGAAAGTGTGTTTGCAGTGGTTCAGGTACACACGTGATGTGTGCAGCACATGTCCTAGGCAGGGGAATTGGGAGAGGACGAGTTTGAAGGTGAGGATGTGAAGCAGCCATGGTTTTAGTGACAGCTGACAAGCCATGGTGAAGGAATAAGCAGCACGGCATGGCAGGAGGGGGGAGAACTGAAGGAGGTGAGTGATGACGGTATGGCACGTAGGACGGAGGGAAGAGGCGTGGGTGGTGGTGGAGATAGCAGGTGTGTGGAGAGCAGGAATGAATTAGGGTCATCATGATGTGCATTGGCTTTGGTGCTAGGGATCTCACTAGGCAGGGCACTGATGGGCTCCGTGGGTGCATCATAGGCGATGATGAAAGGGAACTTGGACACTGGGAGCTGCAGGGGGGAAATGGGCGGAGGGGAGTGAAGGATACAGCAAATGAGATGGGCAGGGCAGGGTACTGATGGGCTCCGTGGGCGCACAGGCGATAAAGGGAACTCCAACACTGGGAGCCGGAGAGACAGGGGAGAGAGGGGGGTTGGAGGGGAAAAAAGGGGGGAAGTGGGGAGGGGAGAGGAGTGACGAAACATTGGGAACATAGGCGATGAGGAAGGAAAACTCTGACACTGGGAGCTGTGGTGAAAGGGGAGAGTGGGGGAGTGGGGGGAGAGGGGGTAGGGGGTGAGATGGGGCAAGCCACTTATGGGCTCGGTGGGCGCACAGGCAATGATGAAGGGAAACTCCGACACTGGGAGCTGGAGAGGGGGAGGGGAGGAGGGGGGTAGTGTGTGGATGGGGGGAGGGGAGAGGTGTGGAGGGGGGTTGGAAAGACTGGAACCACACATACGGCAGGTGGCATGTGGAGAACCACGATGGGCTGGACGAGGGCTGTGGTGATGCAGAAGCGGAACAGCGGTTATGGGGTGAGTGGGCGCACAGGCGATGATGTACGGGAACTCCGACACTGGGAGCTGGAGAGAGGGGGGCGAGTGGGGGGGGGTTGGAAAAGAGGATGCGGCGGAGGCGAGAGGAGAGGAGGGAAGAGAAAGGGGAGGGGGAGGAAAGCGGAAAGGAGGGGGGAGAAGAGAGATTGATGACACAGATAGAGGAAGTGGGGTGTCGAATTCCCCGATGGGCTGGAAGAGGGCTCTGGTGGGGAGGGCAGGGGACAGGCTTGGTGGGTGCATAGGCAATGCTGAGGGGGAACCCAGTTTTGAGGCGCCAAAAGAACCCTCAGACTGGGAGCTGGAGAAGGGAAGGGAGGGGGAGGGAGGAGAGTGGGGAGAGGGAGAAGGGGGATGAGATGGGGCAAGCCACTGATGGGCTCCGCGGTGCATGCATATGCGATGCTGTGGGGGAACCCACAAACTGGGAGCTGCAAGGGGGAAAAGGGGGAGAGGGGGGGGAGGGAGAAAGAAGGTGAGACGGGGCAAGGCAAACCCTAGGCCTGGTGGGTGCAAAGGCAATGCTGAAGGGGAACCCACAGACAGGGAGCCAGAGAAGAGGACGGAGGGGAAGGGAGGCGAGGGGAGGGAGGCAAAGAGGTGGGGACATCACCATGACATCCCCTGTCTTCAACGTGACATCACCATCGCATTCTATCATGCGTACCGTCGTTCTCACTGTTAAAAGATTCCCTCCTTACAAGCACACATCCAGTGACATCATCCCGTCCTTACAGTCACACACGCCTGGGGATACCATGGCATCACGATGCAGAGGATAAAGAACCACCCTCGCTCACACGATCTTTCGCCTACAGTCACACACGCCGAGGCACTATCCCCTCCTTAGAATCTCACTTACCGTGGCATGATCCACAGATTACAATCACACCCACCTGGGGATACCATGACATGACGATGCGGAGGATGAAGAGGAAGTTCAGCGCCGCGAAAAGCGGGCCCATTACAATCTCCGCAGTCACCGCCGCGCTTTGCGCTACGGATGCAAAGCCCTCGAGCGACACCGCAGACGCCGTTGGCGCAAGGAAAAGATAAGCAGGAAAAGCGGCGGCAGTCGCGGCGGTGATTATCGAGAGGGAATCGGACGGCGCTTGCTGGTTATCGGCTTCGTTCGCGACGTCACGACGCCGTTGGATCAGTGATCGGACGGTCAGCGATCTGCATGACAGCCCTCGATGTCGCGACGGCGAATAGAGGTTAACAGCAGCCGAACGATTTGCGAGTAGTGGAACTCGTAGAAGCGGCCGTTGAACGCACGACTTTCGAGTCGACTAAAAGGTAAGCTGAACGGCACAGGGGACCGCCGCGCGATCATGTGAGGTCGACAGCGAAAGCACGGGAGCTGCAGACGTCATTCTATAAGAAAATAAACCCTACGCGCGTATGGCCTAGCGACCACGGTATGTGCGGCAGCTAACAGCAGTATTGCTCTGATTTCTATCTGCTGTCACGCTCCGTGCAGTCTCGTAGAAGGGGTTGCTCCCTCGATTTCGTGGAGTTTTGTAGAATGCCTCTTCCTCTCCCTCTCCCCCGCGCTACCATCCCACAGCCCCTGCCGACAGCACCCGATAACGCTGTCCCTGCGCCCCGTTCTGCAGTGCCCTAAACCACGCACGGCTGCGCGCGCATGATCGCCCTCTCCTGTCCTCCGTACGTCGCACATGGCGTGTCTGCGAGTCTGTTCCCCCCCAACAACTTATTTCTAAAAATCTTCTGTGCGCGACTTCTATTTCTAGGGATGTCGCGGCGCTGGGAGAATATTCCTTAGATTGCGCGTATCGGTGAAGAATCTCATCGGGAAATGCGGGAGAGCATGGGCAGAAATCGAGTGTGATCCCGAAGCCCGAATTACAAGCACGTACGCAGCGGTTCTCTTGAAGCCCTGGCATGTATGCTGGTATTTTTGAACTCGTGCTGGGGGACTCTTTCTGGGGTTGAAAAAAATCGCACAAGCCAAAGTGGGTGGGGTAACCAAGTAGGTGCGGAACCCTCGACGTGGTTCGGCCAAAAAGGTGCGGGTGGCACAGTGTCACCAGTTAGCGTTTGACTTTGTAATTCGGGTTTCGGGCTTTAACGTTGGATCGATTGTTGAGATGAGGAAAACCATTTATAAGGACCAGAAACAGTCGACCAAGTCTTACGCTCAACCTCCCTCCATGCCGTGTGAGTCAGCGCAGCCACCATCCCTCTGGTACTCGTTCCCTTGCGTTTGGTGAGTACGTTGTTTCGGATAGTGTCGGGTATTGGAACAAGAGGCTTCGAGTTTCCTAGGGTTCTCTTCCGCGTCCGATTTCCTGACGGTTAGAGCCCTATCGTGCCCACTTTGGCGGGTGAGGCCCGTTAATACGACACAGATGCAGGGTCAGACTTCGGTGGAGGCCGCCTCTAGGAACCATGAGGTCCTGCAGGCGTTCAGGGTGCTCGACGTGAATGGCGATGGCAAAATCTCCCCTCGGGAGCTGAGGCAGGTTCTGGATCGCATGGGGTGGGCGGACGAGTCGGCAATGCAGGAGCTGATGGCGAAGGCGGACACCAACGGCGACGGACTGATTGACTTCGAAGAGTTCGTGCACTCGTCGCTTAACCACGTGGCCGCATGTGGCGGCGGGGCAGGCGGTATTGTGGAGGTGGCGGAGGAAGAGGAGGAGGACCTGCGTAAGGCATTCGAGCTGTTCGACCACGACGGCGACGGTAGCATCACCGCGGAGGAGCTTCAGAATGCCATGCGCATGCTGAGCGGCGACAAGCTCAGCATGGACGATTGCCGCACGATGATTGCACGGGTGGACGTGAACAGAGACGGCCGCGTTAATTTCTCAGAGTTCAAAGGCATGATGGACGGTGTGCTCCGCTGACAAAGTCTCGCGCGTCTACACTCATGCTAACTTAGTACCGCGGCACTAATGGCGGTTTTGTGCTCTAACAGGCGAATAGGTTCCCCTTATCCACTCATCGCGAGCTGTAGACCCCCCACATCAGTTGTGTGAGACTAAGAATAAATGCATTTGGCTCTTGAATAATTGCTTGTGGGTCGATACCACAATATTCTACTTCCGTGGGTTGAAGGATACCTTCAACGGGAGTGTTGGATAAGCATGGAAACGTTGGATAAGCAATTACCATAGCATCATAAGCAAACAGCGTGAGACTCTCTTGACACTACGGAGCTACTGCAAATACGGTACAGCTGTAGAATGTTCACTTTCATAGGGTATGATGTAAGCACAGTTAACAAAAAAGAGTTGTCCTGAATTCATCACACCAGCCAATCCTCTCTTTGCTGGCTACTCTTCCCGCTTCCTTACCCCTCGTTCACCATTGTCCCTCCCGCCTTCCACCCTGCCCCGTTCGCCCTCCCCCACATGTGCCATGATCCAGTTGAGCCCCTCGCCCATGGTGCCTGGCATGTGGTCGCTGATGCACCACGGCGACACCACTATCTCGCGCACCGCCTCCTGCTGCACCTCCACCACCTGCCACCGCATGTGACCTCCCGCCACCTCCTCGTGCGAGGGGAACACACCAAACTGCCTCTGCGGATGCACTTCCTTGCGAGTGGTGGGGCGATGGCCACAACCAGGGGGGTCGCAGCACAGCATCAGCAGACGACCAGGGGGGTAAAGGGGTGGCGCAAAATCCTCTTGCTGCTGCTTCTCATTAGCACTCTCTGGCTTTTCAGCCCGCTCCTCATTCTTACCCTCTCTCCCCTCAGTGCTCCCATCCTCGTTGCTGTCCACTGCTTCCGCCACCTTACTTCTCTCCACACCACTTCCCTCGTCGTTGCACTCACCTCTCTGCACCATGGCCTCCATTCCAGCTTCCCCGGCGTCGTTGCTGTTACCGCCTTCCCCACTGTCGCTACTAGAGCCAATGGCATCCGCCCCACCCTCCATGTGTTGCGCCTCCACCCACTCTTGATCTGCCTGCCAGTCCTCCCCTGCCTCTTCCGCTCTCTTCCCCCCCCCTGCTTTCATGCCATCTCCTTCAGCACTCTCTGCCCCATCCTCCTCACCCACATCATCCCAACCTTGCCCACTCCTTGACTGCCCATCTCTTCCACGCATCACCTTGCCCAACTGCCCCTCATTCGCCTCCCCCTTTTGCCCCTTGCTACCATTCTCCTGCTGCTTTGCCCTTGCGCCCCCCACGAGCTCAACCACCCCTTGTGGAATGGCATCTGCCACGATCTCAGGGACCCTCTCCGCCACCACGTGCTGGAGCTCCTGTGCCTTGCCCCCCAGCCCAACTGCCGCCCCCGTCACTGCCACCGCAGCTCCCTGCACCGCTGCTGCCGCACCCATTGCCTGGCTCTGCACTGCTCCAGCCGCCCCCACTGCAGCCCCCAGCAGTGGTGACTGCTGCAAGGACGCCGCTACACCCGCCGCTGACTGCTGCACTGCTGCTGCCGCCGACACTGCACTCCCCTGCACGGCTGCCGCTGCCCCCACGGCGGTGCTTTGCAGGTCCTTGAGGCGCGTGAGCAGGTCCCTGGCCGCCTTGAGGCGCTGCCAGTCCTCGTCATGCCACCCCACCACAGCCTCTGCATGCTCCCAGTCAAACGTGCTGATGGCCTGCCGCAGCAGCTCCACACTGGCCAGAGAGAACCTGCCGGTGGCAAACAGGGGTCCATAGGAGGCAGGGGTGGGGCGGACGAGGGCATGGGAGGCAAACACGGACAAGCAGAAGCGTATGGGAAGAAACCATAAAGTAGAGGCTTTCGGGCAAGAGATGCACATACCGAGGGACTAAGTCGTGCTGCACTAGCACACAGGTGACAAAGGAGGTGCAGTGCTGGGCCAAGTCCAAAGTCATGCATGCAGGCGGACCATACCCCACACACTGCACCTCCACACCATCCAACCCCCTCCCTGCTCCCACCACTGCTTCCGCCGCTGCCTCCTGCAGCTCCTCTGACTCCCTGTCCCCCCACCTCCTCTCCTGCTGCCGCCCTTCTGACCTCCGCCCCCTGCCACCACGCCTACCACCACGCTTGGCAGCAGCAGCACGAGAGTGGTTGTCACCTGTCACAGCATGCATGCTCTCTCTTGATGCCTCGCCATCACCTGCGCTGCCCCCTGCATGAGGGTGCGGGTGCAGGCGGTTGTTCTCATGCCGCAGCATCATGCCGGCCAAGATGGCCACAGCCGCGCCCAGGCTGTGCCCCACGAACACAAGGCGCCGCACCGGCATGCCATGCCACGTGCGCAGTGCGTGCTCGATGTGGTCCCGGGCCTCACTGCACGGCCACAAGTGGGGCACGCACAAGAGAGCCACGTAAGAGAGGGTGACAGTTCAGCTCTGTGCACTTGTCATGCTGGGGGACCAAAGTGGGTCAGGCAAGTGTGGGGCTGCATTCACGAGCCAGAATCAAACCAGAGCACTCATTTGAAACACACAAGGTTTGTGGTGGTTGAAGCAGTAAATACTGGTTCAGGCTGAGCAGGTGCCTACTAGAGCAAATGTGTAGAGGCATGCAGAAAGCCACTGTGCACTTTGCCGCCCAGGAAATCGTGTGGAAAGGTGCCGGCATTGACGAGCATGTCAGCGGTGTCGGAGGTGCCTCTGACAGACACCACCACGGCCCCCAGCTGTGGGTCCACGCACACCACAAACGCTGGGCGCACACGCTGGTTGTGCGGCTGCCACTGCGCATGCACTATGGCCGACTCCGGCAGACACGTCTGTGCACGGGGACGGAGGAAAAGGGAGAGGAGAGAATGGGAGTTGAGACACAGCATGGGAAGAACAGAACGGGCAGAGGGTCCACCAGGGGAGACAGAGGGGAGTCGAGAACAGGGCTCATTCTTGGGTTACGCGTCACTCTGGCGGCCCCGATTTGCCATCGTTCTTGCTGAAATTTTCTGGGAGAGCCTTGCAATTGCAATCGTTGTGGCGCTTTTACCTGTCAGATGTGGCTTAACGAGCAACTGCCACACTGCCACCCTGCAGGTGCGATTGAGGAGGATGAACCAGGACCGGAACAGCGAGGAAAGTGATGAAGAAAGAGCGAGACAGTAGTCATGGCAAAGCATGGACATACAATTAGCAACAACCCCTTTGAACCAACTTCCTTTGAATCCCTTGAAAGCATCATCGACTGCAGCAGTCGTCCAAATATGAGACATCCTCAACAATACAGAACGCCAATTACGGCATGGATATACTCTCTATGTGCAACACGTTTTCTGCGACTGGGTTGGGTTGGCCAAGAGGGCGGTGGAGAGGTGACCTGCAGCGACCAGGTGGCGCTGTCCCCCGAGTACACGGCCTCGGCGTGCGCCCTCAGGCGCTGCAACTCCGCCACGTACGCCACTCCCACCTCCGCAGGCGCCACCACTCGCCCACGCGGTGGGGGAGGGGGGCGCTTTGCCGTCACCTGAGCGGATGAGAAGAGCAGGGGAAGAGGAGAGAGGCGTTAGCATGAGGGGGAAGGGGAAGATGGATGAAGTGGATAGGTGGAGGCAGGACAAGGGTGGGCGGCAGTGGCAAGTGGGGGTGGCAGCAGAGGAGGGGCAGGGCGACCTTGGCCATGACGGCGAGGCCGAGGGTGAGGTCGGACACGGACCACGGGCCCAGGTTCGCCTGGATGCACGCCAGCCCGCGCGCCAGCATTTCCATCGGCCCCGGCGCCGCCACTGGCCCTTCCCCTCCACTGCCCTCCATGCCCGAGCTCTCCACATCCCCCGCTTCTCCCCCTGTTGCTGCTGCTGCCCCTTCTCCCTGCCGCTCCCTCGACCTCTGCTCCCGCTCCGCCCTTTTCAGCTGCCGCCCCGCCCTACCCTCCTCGTCACTGCTCTGGGTGGCCAGCCCTCGTCTGCCGCCGTCCCTGCCGGCAGTGCCGGCGGCGGCGTGCAGTGCGCGCGTAGGGGTTAGCCGGCCATGCGCCGGCCGCGCTGCTCGCGCCCACTGTGAGCACCAGGGGAAGGCAAGGTACGGAGTGAGGAGCGGGAGTATGAGCGCGAAGGATTATGGTGACGACGGCACACGAAGGGCACACCAAGGGCACACGAAGGGCACACGAAGGGCACATGGTGGCAGTGTATCTGCCCTACGCGCGTAGGCGCCTCAAGCTACCTGCGCCACTCTCGGTGCAAGCAGCATGAGCGCCGCAGCAGCACTGCCGGCAGCGACCACCACGCGGGCCATGGCGGCGAATCCGCGCCCCTCGCTGCGCAGCAGCTTGCTGCCGCGGAGAGCGCCTTGCGTCGACCCGCCCGTCAGCGCGTTCACCATTCGCCGTCGCGGCCGTCCCGTGCGTTGTTCCGCTCCTCTGAGCAAAGTTCCGTGTCCCTCCGTGCCGCCAGCACGACGAGAGGACGCCATGGCGAGTGTGTGTTTTGCATGGAAGGGTGGGAGGGAGGTCCAAGAGTCGGAGGTGGAAGGGTGTGACGTGTGGAGCAGCAGGGAGCCCCGGAATGGAGCGCCCCTGTGATTCTGCCCACGAGAGCGAGAGACAGAGAGAGGACGAGCGCGGCGCGCACGAGAGGCGCATCGCGGCTGGAGAACGACCCAGCTGACGAGTCGCCATGTAACGAAGGCGAGGTTGCCACGTACGGGTGGATAACCGAACACGTGGAAGCCTGGTGCCAGCCAGCACAATTTGAAGGAGAATGTGCTAAAATGCACTAAAATGCATTTTTAGGGGGTTTTAGATTTAGGCCAGAAGCAGTTGGTCCGCAGCGGCCCAGCCCAACCCCGCGCGGCCCAGCGAGTCCCAGCTGTGGACCAGCCACCGAACAGGTCTGGACCCGACTTGCACCAGCCCACGGATCAGCACATACAAGTCGAGCCGCACGCACAAGAGCGGTGCGCGACATGCAGGATCATTTCCAGAGCGAACCTAGGCGATTAGAATCTTCTTTCCTCTCGCCAATATACTGTCTATTGCGACATGTTGTTCACGTGTGACCAGGTGCGCTTGTTTCTTCGTTAACATTTCGTTTAGGGAGCTGCAAGGCACTGTGCATAGCTGGTCCGCTGCAAATGGTCCCCGGTACCACTCGGGTACCGGGTGGGGACCATTTTTGGAACTGGTCCCTGTAAAGTGGTACTCGTACACCTTCGCTGGTCCATTTCACCTGCACACAAATGTAACACCCCCTTAGTGAAATGCCACGTTCTTATGTTCAGAATTGGTACAAGTAAAATGCATTTGTGAAATGCACTAAAATGCATCTCTGTCAAATGCACTAAACGGAGAATATGAAAGCCTATAAACATTCACAAACTACTTGTACCGATTCTGGGTGTGGCTTGGGCTTTTTTGGGTTGCTTAGCAACCCTATATATTTGGTTTGACATTTTGGGAATTGTTAAGTAGGTAAACTACTAGCAAGAATGGTTTGACTAACAGCAATGAGAAGTACAAGTACTAACCTTATTGGGTTGTACCCTATATGGGCTATACCCCACTACAGCCTAACCAGCATATAATTGATTTTGACACACCCCCATAGGCGAAGTGGGGGATAGCAAGATAAACAAATGATCACAAGACCAGTCGAGAGAAGAAGCAAAGCAAATCTCAGGGTGGATCTCAAGATCACCACACAGTCCGAGCACAAGCAAGTGACCACAAGGCCAGTTCACATGCACTGTTGTATTAACAAAAGCACTACACTGATCACAACCTAGCAAGTGTAAACATGCTGGTACAAATATATATAGCAGGGTACAACAAGTGCAAGGCGAGATCAAAAGACAAGCAGGCAAGGGAGAGTGGGCACAAGCCCAAAAGCAGTGCAGACACGCTGATGATCACCAGACCCTAGGGCCTTGCTGAAGATATCAGCAGTGTTGGCCTGGAAGGCCACGTAAGCAAGGCGAAGCTGACCACGCTGCTATAACTCTCGTGCGAGAAAGTAACGGAGAGAAATGTGCTTCGTTCTGTGCTCCAGTCTCTGCTCCCGACACAAGACAATCATGACCTTGTTGTCGACGTACAGAACTGGAGGAGAACGAGGCCGCTCACCCAAGTCAATCAGCAAGTAGGTCAGCTATCGTAACTCCTGCGCAACCATAGCCCCAGCGTAGATCTCGGCCTCATAGTTGGAGCTAAGCACAGAAGACGAGCGACTGGACCTCCACGAGATAGAACCAGTGCCGAGACTGAAAGAGTAACCCTGTGACGACCGCTGAATCGCCTAGTCGTCAGCCCAAGAAGCGTCTGAGTGCCCAGTGAGCACAACTCGACCCCGTTCTCCAAGCACAAGCCCCATGCCCGATGTACTGCACAAGTAACGCAGTACGCTCACAGCAACCAGGTAGTGCTCGGGGTGGTGTCTCCCGGGCGCAACGTAGCGCGCCAGGATGCTCAGAGTGTACGCGAGGTCAGGTCGAGTGCAAGTCATCAGGTACATGAGGCAACCCACAAGCTCTGGATACGGACCACTCGGCTCTACGGACTTGTCCAAAGGTGGAGCTGAGAGCGAGTGGCCCATAGGCAGAGGAGTGGGCTGTGGCGAGGAGAATTGAAAGCGGAAGCGTTGAAGGACCTGCTGCACCATGTGTGACTGAGTCAGTGTGATGGTGCGCGCTGCTCTGTCCCGGGTGATCTGCAAGCCAAGATAGCTGCGCAGCTCACCCAGGTCTGTGCACGTGTGTCTCTTCTGCAGTTCCGACTTCACGTGGGCGAGTCCCGTAGTGTCAGCAGTAGCAAATACCAAGTCGTCGACGTACACGAGGATGTAGAAACAGCAGAAACAGCGACGGGTCGGCAGTCGAATGAGCAAAACCAAGAGCCGCAAGTGTCGTCCTCAGTGTGTCGTACCACTCGCGGGGCGCCTGGCGGAGACCGTAGACTGGCCGCCGGAGGCTCCACTGGGTACCCTCAAGAAACGACCTAGTGAAGCCAGGTGGCCAGCGCAGCCAGATCTCCTCGTGTAGACTGCCTTGCAAGAAGCTGTGGAGAAGTCGAGCGAGTGCAGCTCGTAGTCACGAAGTGTTGCAACGTGCAGTAACACCCGAAGAGTAGTCATCTTCGGGGTGGGGGAGAAGGTCTGGAAGAAGTCAACCCCCTGACGCTGACTGAAGCCTCGTGCAACGTAACTCGCCTTGAAGGCATGCGGAGAACCCGGCGGCCGCTTTACCCTGAAAATACACATGCCATCGACTATGTTCACCCCAAGAAGGGGAAGTGAGTCGACGTAGGAAGCCATCTCTGCGTCCATGGCTGTCTGCCACTTAGAGGAGTACTGACCCGTGATCGCCTCTGCGTAAGAGTGCGGGATCGGGATGTCCAATGCACCCGGGTCTCCCTCAGGGGCAAGCAGCATGGCAGCGAGATGAGGTACAGCAGGCGCTAGGCACTCAGCTCAAACTGTCTGTCCGCAAGGACGTCACAGCCAAGGGCAAGCTCACCCTCGATGGAGGGAGGACAGTCAGAGTCAGAAACAAGACTCGTGAAGTAGTCAAGGCGGCACGCAGCAGCAAAGTCAACGAGCTCAGTGACCAAGGCAGATGCATCACCAAAGCAGGGTCAGTGACAAGTGTGGCAAGACAACAAGTGACAGTCGGAAGAGCAGCACGGGAAAGGTCAGACAGAGGGTCAGCAACGTCAGGGAGAGAAGACGCAGGAGGCAACGGCAGGACAACACGCTGTGGAACAGAGGAAGGACGAAGTGACATGGTGTGAGTGCTGGGGGCAGGAGGAGGGCGAACAAGAGGAGCACGACGAGTACGAACAGGCGTGGGAGGACGAGACGTAGGCTCTCAACGCTCCGGCAAGGAGTCTGTCAACTCAGTGTAAGGAGAAGGAGCAGGCAGTGGGAAGTCAGGCGGTAACTGTGTCTGAAACGGATCAGTCGGTGGACACAGTAGAGGAGTAAAACCAGAGGAAGACGGAATACTGAGAACCTGGCGAAGCGCCGAGCCAGGTGGTGGCAGCGACGACTGCGGCTGGGGCCAGAAAAACGATCGCTGCTGCAGCGGCTGCGCAGCACCCCCAGCACTAGAACCTCCAGCTCCAGTACCTCCAGCACCAGCACCTCCACTACCAGCACCTCCAGTACCTCCGGCTCCAGTACCTCCAGCTCCAGTACCTCGAGCACCAGCACCGCCAGCACCTCCAGCTCCAGTACCTCCAGCACCAGCACCTCTTGCACCAGCACCTCCAGCACCTCCAGCTCTAGGATCTCCAGCACCAGTACCTCTTGCACCTCCAGCTCCAGCACCTCCAGCTCCAGTACCTCCAGCACCTCCAGCTCCAGTACCTCCAGAGTCAGCACCCCCAGGACCAGCACCTCCAGAGTCAGCACCCCCAGAACCAGCACCCCCAGAGTCTGCACCTCCAGTGTCACAACCCCCAGCAGCACCAGAGTTTACAGCGACACGCTGCAGAGGCGGTGAAGACGGCCGAGGCGGAAAACCAGGAGAGGTCTCCAAGCGCAATGAGCGGCGAGAGGCCGCTGTATTGTCAGCAATAGAATCACCCCCCTCAGCTGGGCCAGAGGTGTCGGAGGAGACCTCCAAAGGCTCAACCAAGGGGGGTGGGTCAACCTGAGACACACCTGAGGGAGCAGGACCCGATGGGGGGAGGGGGTCTACTGGGGGGGGATCTGGAACCAGGTGGAGGGGCGGGGGGGGGGACGGGGGAACTGTTGTGGGGGAAGAGACGGTAGTAGCAAATCGACTCGTCAAAGGTGATGTCGCGGGAAGATAGGACGCGACGCGTGGCTGGGTGATAAAACTGCCTGGGCGGGGCGTTGGTGGGAAAGCCAAGGAAGACGCAGCGAACAGTGCGAGGAGAGACCTTGCCCGCGGGAGGATCGCGGACAAGGGCAAGCTGATCCATACCTGAAACGCCGACACATCGCCAACCTCCCCCGTCCAAAGCAGGGTAGGCGAGGTCTCTGGCTGGGAAACACTGGGCACGATGTTAAGCTGATGTGCGGCGTATCGGACCTCAAACGGCCACAGAAAATTGGGAGCAACCGCATGGATCATGCAGGTACGAGCAACCTCCATGATCAAGCCAATGCAACGCTCAGCAATCCCATTCTACTGTAGAGAGGCCGGAAGCATGAACGACTGGGTGATGCCCTCCTCCCGACAAAAGCCCTCAAGGAGGTGGGAGGAAAACTCACCACCTCGGTCAGAGTGCAGCCGCAGGACCGGGAGGTCCTGCCGGAACCGTGTGCTCAGCTAAAGACGAACTGCGCGGATCCAAGGGATCAATATACTCCGTACCTCCGCCTTGCTCTACAAGGGGAAGACCGTGATGTAGTGCGTGAAGTCATCAACAACCTCCAGAAAGTAGCGCTCCCAGCCATGTCCACTGACGCGGGCGGGGCCCCACACGTCCATGTGGAGTGTCTGCAGAGGAGCAGTGGTCGGAGGAAACGAGGAGGAGTGAGGAGCAGCGCGCTGCCGCCCCTCGATGCAGGGAAGGGACGGCGGCGCAAGTGACCGCGGGAGCGGGGGCAGGGACCTGGGGAGGCCAGAGACAAGGAGACGGGAGTGCATGCTACGCAGACGTTGCAGGGAGGGGTGACCAAGATGGTGGTGGCAGAGGAGAGACATGTGCGTGAGTAACCGACACGAGCAAGACGCAACTACCTGGCCTGACGCAGCCACCTGTGCAAACTCAGTGTGCAGTGTGTACAGGCCTGACCCAGGCCTCTGAGTGAACGTGGCGAGGTGGTCGCCAATCCGTACAGATTGCCACAAGCTCGCCCCCAGGAGTAGTGGTGGTGACTAACTGGTCCTGGAGGACAGCGGTACTCACCAAGTTTGTAGCGAACGAGGGGAGGTGGAGACCTGTGAGGGAGCCGGAGGGGGCTCCCGGACACGGGAGAACAGTGGAGCCACATGCAACGACTGGGCCAGAGGAGGGGTCGGCCAGAGTGACAGGGACAGGTGCTGTGAGCGGTGTGGCTGTGGTGCAGTCGCGGAAGAGGCAGCGAGACGTGCCTGAGTCCAGCGTGAAGGTGTGCAAAGCCTCCGCACGAACTGCACCTGTGCTAGCAGACTCACAAGCACCCACACTAGCAGCCTCTACACCAGCAGCTCTAGGCACACACGAGTAATATTCACCCTCAACACTAGCAGAAGCAGCATACATAGCATACATGCCAGCACAGATCTGGTCTCAATCAAGAGCAAACACATCTATGTTCTTCTTGAGCAGTGCTAACCAGTGAGGAGTCTTCTGCTGCTCACCGAACTCCTCGCGAAACGCGTCGTCGAGGCGGAAGAAGCAGCGAGCCTCAGCGTGTCCCAGTCGGCTGCACACCTCTCTAGGGCGACCTGTGCGGCAGCGAACTGGCAGCGAACTCCGCCACAGGAGCTGCCACGCTGGACAACCCACTCACGAAGCTGCTGCGGCGAGAGAGTCTCCTGCCGACGCGACTGCTGCTGCTGTCCACCCCCAGAACCACCGCCTCCACCCGCTGCACCACCAGACGCAGCTGTATGGGTAGGAGAATCCGAGCCTCCACCCCGACTGCCACCCCCACCCCCTCCACCACCCCCACCACCCCCACTGCCTCTACCACCCCCTCCACCTCCACCGCCGCCACCCCCTCCACCTCCACCGCCGCCACCACCTCCTCCACCCCCACCACCACCACCGCCACCACCCTCGCCACCATCCCCACCACCGCCACCCCCACCACCCCTGCACGCCCACCCTTGCCGCCATGGCGCCTCCCACTAAGAGCAGACGCAGCACCGACCTCCTCAGCACGAAAGAAGTCAATAGCAGTAGCAGAGACAACAGATGGCCCAAAAAGGGAGGGGGAGCACCCCTCAAAGATGGAGGGGAGGGGAGTGCCACGGGAGGCAGCGACAGCGTGGGCACTGGTCTCAACCTCTAGGATACGGGTCTCAAACAAGGCAAGGGTGAGCTCAGTGGGGTCTAGGGAGAGGAAGTGGTCTCGAATGGCGCCAAGAGAGTAAGGGAGGCGGGTCGCGAGGAAGTAGAGAGTGATGTACATCGGGGGCGGGTACCCAGCTAGAAAGTCTGGCTTGAGAGCAACACGGTAGCAAGTGTCAAGGGAGCATAGGTGGGTCATAAGATCAGCGACGGTGGGGAAGTTAGACAGCTCAGGAAAGAGATACGGCAGCATGAGACGGCCTAGGGTAGCAGAAGAGGGGGAGGATTAGCGCTTGACTACAGCGTCATAGAGCGCTTTGGCCGTCTTCAGCTGGCGAAAATGGGGCCTCTGGTCTAGCGGGAGGTGGTTGCGCATAGCAAGCTGGGCGTTAGCATTGCACGAGAGCCACTGTGAACGAGCTACACGGTCAGCCATCTCAGCAGGGCGCAGCGCACTGGGCAGCGGGGCAGTGGGGCGCGGGTTGCGCGGGGCCGCGAGGCAGCGGGGCAGTGGGGGTCGCGGGGCGCGTGTCGCACAGGGCAGTGAGGCGCAGGTCGCGCGGAGCTGCGGGGTAGGGTAGCGGGTCGCGCGGGGCTGCGAGGTAGCGGGGCAGCGGAGGTCGTAGAGCGCGGGTCGCGCGGGGCTGCGGGGCAGCGGGGCAGGGCGGCGCTAGCGCGCTGGGCAGGGCGGCGCGAAGGCGCAGGGCAGCAGGGCGCGCGGGACAAGGGCGCGCGCGGGGCAGCAGGGTAGTGGGGCAGTGCGCTTGGGGCAGTGGGACAGCGGCGCGCAGGGCAGCGAGGTAGCGCGCGTGGGGCAGTCTGGGTCAGCGCACCTAATCGAGCACTAACCTAGCAGGTAAGGCGGAAGGTTCAGACGTCGGACCTAACATAGCGTGTGATACCATGTTAAGAAGGTAAACTAGTAGGAATGGTTTGACTAACAGCATTGAGAAGTACAAGTACTAACCCTAATGGGTTGTACCCTATATGGGCTACCCCACTATAGCCTAAACAACCTATATGGGTTGTCATGACAGGGATATAATTTGAACAGTGATTTTTTACGCACTCTTTGGAGCACCCTTTTGAATGTGTTGAAACTGTGTTCAAACGGATGCCTCAAATAGTGAATAAAATCACTCTTGAATGAGATCCCCTTATGTGAAATCAAATACCACTACGCACGTATCATGTTGAAACCATGATTTTGCTCGACTGTCCTAGCATCGTCGATAAATACAGCGAATGGTACGGCCGAGCATAATATTCTGGTATCAACATAAACGAATGCAATTAAACAAATGAACAACAAGGTATGAGGTGGTGTGGATGCTTCAGAATGAACGTTAAGATGCATCATGTAGCAATTGAGGTTGATGGGGTCGTCGAAACAGCGAAACACGCTGCCCCAAAGACGATTAACAACCTCTAATTACATACATGACACATAGTAACACCACACTTTGAAACACACATCCCACAAACACGAATGCAAACGCACGTAAAAGCGTACAACACCACGTAACGGTTGTGAACGTATCAAAGTGGATGCTCAATATACACCAATGCTGCAACTGAGATTGATGGGGTGGTTGAAACAGCGAAGACACGCTGCCCCAACGACGATGACAACCTCAGATCATAGACACGATGCATATTAGCACAACCTCACCGTGAAACAAACACAACCAACTGACATGAACACACACCCGCACAAACACACCCGCACACACATAGATACACAAATAGGATTGAGAGCAGACAAGCATAACGAAGAGTTGCAATAAATTAGTTATGTATCAGTCGCTGCTAACTTGTCCCCCTTTCCTCCCCCTTTCCACCTTCCCTCCTCTCCCTCTACCATCAAAATCTCCTCCCACCCTTTCCCACATTGTCTTCTCTCTCGCATTCCCCTCCCTGCTCCCCACAATGCGTCTTGCACACCTTGCAAAACAAGCAGGTCAAGTAAAAAATGAATTGTCGTCGGAGAACGCAGTGAAGTATTCAATGACGAGCACATACTTGATTGTGAAATGGAACTTGATAAGCACGTATGGGTTGAAATCTGATAAGTACAAAATGAAAGTTCCAATGAAGATCGATACAAAATAGAAATGAAACGCAATACTTGCAACAAAATAATCAGAATTTGACAACTCACAAGCGTGGATTGAAACTTAAATCCCCTGAGGTCACGCACACCACGCTGGTGTGCAGCAAGGCGCATTGGTGCAACAAGCTGGGCATCGCCATGCTACAAGGCGACAGAGAGTTGCAGCAAGGCACCGGCAGGCTGAGAAGAAAAACCGGGCTGCCGTAGAAAGGCTTGAGCACATGGCAGCAAGGCGTGAGCTCACTGCAGCAAGGCGTGAGCATACTGTTGCAAGGCGTGAGCTCACTGCAGCAAGGCGTGAGCTCAGTGCAGAAAGGCGTGAGCTCACTGCAGCAAGGCGTGAGCTCACTGCAGCAAGGCGTGAGCTCACTGCAGCAAGGCGTGAGCTCACTTCGCAAGGTGTGAGCTCGCTGCAGCAAGGCGTGAGCTCACTGCAGCAAGGCGTGAGCTCACTGCAGCAAGGCGTGAGCTAACTGCAGCAAGGCGTGAGCTCACTGCAGCAATACGTAACCTCACTACAGCAAGGCGTGGGCTCACTGCAGCAAGTCGTGAGCTCACTGCTTCAAGGCGAGAGCGTGCGCAGTAATTTGCCAGCACACTGCCGCAAAAAAGGAGCAGAGCACAAGCTGCCAGCGCGCAGCACGCTGCAAGGTGCCAGCGCGCTAATCGCAGCAAGGCGCCAGCGTGTTAGGCGCCAACGCGTTAGGCGCCAGCGTGTTAGGCACCAGCGAGTTAGGAGCCAGAGCGTTAGGCGCCAGCGCGTTAGGAGCCAGCGAGTTAGGCGCCAGCGCGTTAGGCGCCAGCGCTTTAGGCGCCAGCGCGTTAGGCGCCAGCGCGTGAGGATCCAGCGAGGTAGGAGCCAGCATGTTAGGCGCCAGCGCGTTAGGCGCCAGTGAGTTTGGTGCCACCGAGTTAGGCGCTAGCGCGTTAGGCGCCAGCGAGTTAGGCGCCAGCGAGTTAGGCGCCAGCGAGTTAGGCGCCAGCGCGTTAGGCGCCAGCGCGTTAGGTGCCATCTCCTTAGGCACCAGCGCGTTAGGCGCCAGTGGCTTAGGCACCAGCGCGTTAGGCGCCAGCGAGTTAGGCGCTAGCGCGTTAGGCGCCAGCGCGTTTGGCGCCAGCGCGTTAGATGACAGCGCGTTAGGCACCAGCTTGTTAGGTGCCAGCGCGTTAGGTGCCAGCGCATTAGATGCCAGTGCGTTTGGCGCCAGCGAGTTAGGCGGCAGCGCGTTAGGCGCCAGCGTCGTAAGGAAATCGCATGAGGCGCTAGCTGTCAAACTTATATGCTGTATTTTGTATAGGCTATAGTGGGGTAACCCATATGGGGTACAACCCAATTAGGGTTAGTACTTGTACCCATCCTGCTGTTAGTCAATGCATTCTCGCTTACGGATTCTAACATGGTTTCAGAGCAGGTCCTGACCTAGGACCGTTTTTTTAAGGGCCCACTGAATCGTTTCCTGCCCGTAGCGCGTTACCCTGCCCGTAGCGCCCTACCGTGTCCGTCGCGCTGCCCCACCAGTCGCATTACCGTGCCCGCGCGCCGCCCTGCTAGCTGCCGCGCTGCCTTGCTATGCCCTGCGTTGCGCCTCCAAGCGCACGCCCTGCCCTGCGTTGCGCTGCCCGCGCACGCCCTGCACTGCCCCGCGTCGCGCTGCCCCGCGCACGCCCCGCCTTGCTCCGCGTCGCGCTGCCCCGCGCACGCCCTGCCCTGCCCCGCGTCGCGCTGCCCCGCGCACGCCCTGCCCTGCCCCCCGTCGCGCCGCCCCTGCAGCCCGCGCGCCGCCCCTGCAGCCCGTGCGCCGCCCCTGCAGCCCGCGCGTCGCCCTCTGCAGCCCGCGCGCCGCCCCTGCAGCCCGCGCGCCGCCCCTGCAGCTCGCGCGTCGCCCCTGCAGCCCGCGCGCCGCCCCTGCAGCCCAGCGCGCCCCGCTGCCCAGCGCGCCAGCGCGTCCCACTGCCCAGCGCGCCCCGCTGCCCAGCGCGCCATCGCGCCCCGCTGCCTAGCGCGCCAGCGCGCCCCGCTGCATAGCGCGCCAGCGCGCCCCGCTGCCCAGTGCGCCAGCGCGCCCCGCTGCCCAGCGCGTCAGCGCGCCCCGCTGCCCAGCGCGCCAGCGCGCCCTGCTGCCCAGCGCCCAGCGCGCACTGATAAACCCTAAAAAAAAAAAAAAAAGAGCCCTGGGTGCCGCCCCTGCCTGCCCGCGCGCCGCCCTCTGCAGCCCGCGCGCCGCCCTGCTGCAGCGCGCCGCCCTACTCTGGCCGCGCGCCGCTCTTCCCTGACCGTGCGCCGCCCCGACCTACCCTAGTGCCTGCTCGCCGCCCTGCCTTCCCTCTGTGCTGCCCTACTGGTCGCGCGCCTCCTTGCTTGCCCGCTATGACGTCTCTTCGTGGTAGCGGTGGGAGTGGTGGCGGCGGTGGTGGCAGCAGTGGGAGTGGTGGCGGCGGCCGCAGTGGCAGTCTAGGTGGAGCTGCTCGGTGGGGAGTTTCTAGGGGTGGCCAGATACAGCTCCAGCGACGTCCGCGCGAGTCCCTCACGCCCCAGCAGCTTCGTGAGTGGTACGCTAGTTGGGGTTGTGGCGGCGGCCATAGTGGCAGTCGCCCTGGAGCTGGTCGGTCGGGAGTTTCTGGCGGTGGCCAGATGCAGCTGCAGCGGCGTCCGCGCGAGACCCTTACGCCCCAGCAGCTGCGTGAGTGGTACGCTAAGAGTAGAGGGTCTCGGAGTACTGCTCGCTGCCCGTACGTCATTCGCACAGGTGATCGGGCTGGTCAGACTTGCGGGACAATTGGTCACACACAGTTCCGCTGCTTCGCCGGTCTGAGCGACGCCTGGCGTACAGACGCGGCTAAGCTCCCGAGCTGGGTGGAGTTGCTTAGGCAGAGGGTGGATATCTTTGCTCTTGACTATGATGCTATCCTCACTGCCATGTATGCATTGCCTGTTAGTGCTGAGGGTGACTGTTACCTATGTGTGCCGCCCGACCCAGGCATAGAGGCTGCTGCTTTAGGTGCTAGTGAGTCTGCTGTTCTAGGTGCTAGTGAGTCTTCTGCTCTAGGTGCTGGTGAGTCTGCTTTCTCTGGTACTGCACTTGCTGAGGCCTTGCACACCTTTACGCTTGACTCAGGTGCTTCCCGCTGTTTCTTTCGCGACAGTACAGCACTCACACCGCTCCCTGCACCTGTTGCTGTCTCTCTGGCTGACCCCTCTGGGGGCCCAGTCCTTGCACGTTCCTCCACTGTTCTCCCGTGTCCGGCGGTTCCGTCTGGCTCACTGTCAGGTCTTCACCTCCCCTCGTTCTCTACGAACTTGGTGAGCAACACCGTCCTTCAGGATGTATGGGTTGACACCTTTACTCCACGAGGACAGCGTGTGGCGATCTGTACGTGCTCCCGGACTGGCCGGCACCTGGCCACGTTCACCCGTGCGCCTGGCTCGAGTCTGTACACACTGACTACTGTGTCTCCTCAAGTAGCTGCGTCTACGTCTGCGTCAGGTCAGCTAGCGGCCCCCTGCTCGTGTCGCGCTCTGTCGCACCAGACCCTCCTTTGGCACCACCGTCTTGGTCACCCCTCAGTGCAGCGCCTCCGTGGCATGCACTCCCGTGTCCTAGTCTCTGGTCTTCCCAGGAATCTGCCTCCTCTCCCACCCTCGCCTGCCCCTCACTGCCTTCCCTGTGTCGAGGGGCGGCAGCACGCCGCTCCTCACTCCTCCTCGTTTCCCCCGATGACTGCTCCCCTGCAGACTCTCCACATGGACGTGTGGGGCCCAGCCCGCGTCCGTGGACAGGGCCGCGAGCGCTACTTTCTGCTGGTCGTTGACGACTACTCGCGTTACACCACGGTCTTCCCCTTGCATAGCAAGGGGGAGGTCCCTGATGTTTTGATCCCTTGGATCCGCGCAGTCTGTCTCCAGCTCCGCGAGCGGTTCCACACGGACCTTCCAGTCCTGCGTCTGCACTCTGACAGAGGTGGTGAGTTTTCCTCCGACCTCTTGCGGGACTTTTGTCGTGGGGAGGGCATTCTCCAGTCGTTCACGCTTCTGGCCTCTCCGCAGCAGAATGGGGTTGCTGAGCGCCGCATTGGCTTAGTCACGGAGGTCGCTCGTACCTCCATGATCCATGCGGCTGCCCCCCATTTTCTGTGGCCGTTTGCGGTCCGGTACGCTGCGCATCAGCTCACCTCTGGCCCCGTGTCTCCTTGCCGGAGATCTCGCCTACACTGCGTTGGACGGGGAAGGTTGGCGATGCGTCGGTGTTCCAGGTCTGGGGTTCTCGTGCCTTTGTCCGCGATACGTCCGCGGACAAGCTCTCCGCCCACGCCATTCCCTGCGTCTTCATTGGTTTTCCCCCTGACGCGCCTGGCTGGCAGTTTTACCACCCCACCTCGCGCCGTGTCCTGCCCTCTCAGGACGTCACGTTCGACGAGTCAGTTCCCTTTTACCGGCTCTTCCCCTACCGCACTGCCCCTCTCCCCCCCCCCGCCGCTCTTCCTCGCACCAGGTCCTCCTCCTGTAGACCCCCTCTCCCGTCAGGGTCCTGCTCCCTCAGGTGTGTCTCAGGTAGACCCTGTCGAGCCTGTCGAGGTTGCTGTCGACTCTGGTGCTGTTAGGGGTGCTGCGACTGGGGGTGCTGAGCCTGAGCGTGTGGAGCCGGGGGGTGCTGAGCCTGAGCGTGCGGAGCCTGGGGGTGCTGAGCCTAAGGTTGCTGAGTCTGAGGGTGCGGAGCCTAGGGGTGCTGAGCCTGAGCGTGCGGAGCCTGGGGGTGCTGAGCGTGGGGGTGGTGAGCCTGAGCGTGCTGCGCCTGGAGGTACTTTGTCTACTGGAGGTTCTCCGGGTGCCTCGTTACGGCGGGAGACTCTCTCTCCACCGCAGCTGCGCGAGTGGTTTGCTCGGCGCTGGAGCCTTCGGAGTGACGCTGCTAGAGATCGGGGGCCTGCCGCTGGAGACCCTGGAGCTAGAGGCGCTGGAGCTGGAGGTACCGGAGGTGCTGGAGCTGCTGGTCCTGGAGGTGCTGGAGGTACTGGAGGTTCTCCGGGTGCCTCATCCCAGCGGGAGCCTCTCTCTCCACCGCAGCTGCGCGAGTGGTTTGCTCGGCGTTGGAGTCTTCAGAGTGGCGCTGCTGGAGCTGGGGGGCCTTCCGCTGGAGGTTCTGGAGCTGTAGGCCTTGGACCTGCTGGTCCTGGAGGTGCTGGAGGTACTGGAGCCGCTTGTCCCGGAGGTGCTCGTACTGGAGGTACTGGAGCTGCTGGACTTGGTGGAGCTGCAGGTGCTGGAGCTGCTGGAGCTGGAGCTGCTGGAGGCACTGGAGCTGGAGCTGCTGGAGGTGCTGGAGCCGCTGGTCCCGGAGGTGCTCGTACTGGAGGTACTGGAGCTGCTGGAGCTGGAGGTGCTGCAGGCGTTGGCGCTGGAGGAGCTGGAGCTGCAGCTGCTGGAGGTACTGGTGCTGCTGGTCCCGAAGGTGCTCGTACTGGAGGTACTGGAGCTGTTGGAGCTGGAGGTGCTGGAGGCGTTGGAGCTGGAGGAGCTGGAGCTGGAGCTGCTGGAGGTACTGGAGCTGCTGGAGCTGGAGATGCTGCAGGCGTTGGAGCCAGAGGCACTGGAGCTGGAGCTGCTGGAGGTACTGGAGCTGCTGGAGCTGGAGGTGCTGCAAGCGTTGGAGCCGGAGGCACTGGAGCTGGAGCTGGTGGTGCTGCTGGAGTTGGAGCTGGAGACCCTGGAGCTGGAGGTGCTGGCCCTGGGGGTGCTGGTGCTGTTAGTGCTGGTTCTGGAGGCAATGTGCGGCCGCGACTGTACTTCGTTCCACTCCTTCAGCAGGTTCTTGGTCTCCCGCCTTCTACTGGCCTTCCTCCTCCCTTACTGTGTCCACCGCCTGACCAGTCGCAGTCGCAGTTACAACCACCCTCCCCACTGCCTGCTCCTCCTTACACTGGGCCGACAGGAGGTCTTGCGGAGCGTCGTGAGCCTGAGTCTCGTCCCGCGTCGCCTGTTCACGCTGTACGCACTGGTCGTCGTGTTCCGCGTCCGCGTCCTCCTCCTGTCCCCGGCACGCACCAGATGGCACTCCGTCCTTCCTCTGTTCCACAGCGTGTCCCTCTGCCTTCTCCTCCTGCGTCCTCTCTTCCTGACGTTGCTGACCCGCCGTCAGACCTTGCTCGTGCTGCCAGTCCTACTGTCACACGTCTTCTAGCCACTGTTGTCAGTGACCCTTCGTTTGAGTCCTCTGCTGCGTCTGCCCTAGTTGTTGAGCTTGTTGACTTTGCTGCCGCCTGTCGCCTCGACTACGCCGCTAGTCTTGTTGCTGAGTCTGAGCTTGACTGTCCTCCGTCCGTCGGGGGTGAGTGTGCTCTTAGCACGGACGTCCTTGAGAA